AAAAGGCCACAAGACCCTCCTGCCAGCCCGGGGGGAGTCCCCAGAACTCTGGCTCGCTGCCGCAGAAACCCCCAGGCACCGGCTTCCCAGGGTGAAACTCCGGGGGGACGGGCAGCTACTGCAGGAAGTGAGGGGGATTTCACAGCTGGCAGCCGAGAAGCAGAAAAAACTCAGTGGCGGGCCAGTACGTGTCCGCGGGTTGGTTTCATCGAATTTCATTCCGGCGCAGGAGGGTGCCGTTAAAACAAAGAACGATCAGAAGGAGGGAGGGGAAGGGAACGGTTCAATCCGCAGATTTGTAAGGCTCGGATTTCTCCGAATTCAAAATGCAAAGGAGGCCCCGAGAAACGCACCTGCTCTGGATCCACATCGCTACCGGAGCAAGCCCAGCAGTTCTAGCCACACCTAGATCAGGGGTGGCCGACCGGCGGCTGGTGAGCTGCATGCGGCAAGTCAAAGGAAAAATTGCACCCGGGTCCCGTCTAGTGCTCAGTGACTCTACGGTTCTGGTGCGGCGCACGGGGCTGCCGACACGGCCGGCCTGCAGGAGCCTTGGGAGCCGCCGGAAACCCATCTGGGAGCGTCTCACCTGCAGCCCCAGCAGAAGAGGCCCCGGCGCCGGCCGTCTGTTTGCCAGAGCGGGGAACTGGGGCGCACCACTTTACTTGCCCCCGTGTCCTTTTCAGCTCAGACACCCGGGCCCGGCGGCCACACCCCAGAGAGAAGCGATTCCTTCCCCAAAGCAGTGGCGATGCCAATGGCACAGAGCAGAGTAGAGGATCCAACGGCCCCTCTGCTCTGGGTCTGTGGGTACCGGGCAGTGCGCTAGTGGTCGTATCACTGAGCCATGGGCCGGGCCGGGAGATTCAAGCGGCCGAGGGGCTGTCGCTGCCTCCCCCTCACTCGCCCGCTGGTTTGTTGTTGCTCCTGTTCCCCCAGGCCCAGCGACGATGACGGGGAAGGATCCCGCGTCCCCCCCTGGCTCCGCGCTGCCCGGCTACCTCACGCTCTGCCTCGTGCTGTGGGCTCCCAGGCTGGCCCCAGGATATCCCTGTCTGCTCAACCCTGCCAAGGACACGGACTTGTTATGGGAACAAGTCAATCAGTTTTACTTCGTCGCTTTCTCCACACCAGTCCTGATTTTATAGGCCTCTCTCCATTGTGGCTATGTCTACACTGCCCCCATTTTGCACAAGAAATACGCAAATGAAGCAAAGTATGGAATATCACCGTGCCTCATTTGCATAAGTAATGAGGCTCCTTTTTGTGCAAAAACTCCTTCTTCTGCAAGAGCCGTTCTTCCTGAAAAAAATGCACAAAAGCCTCTTCCACAGAAACAGAGCCTCGTTAATTATGCAACTAATATTTCTCCCCCCAAATACTGTTCCAGACGGAGTCTTTCCTAGGCTGTCCCCCTCCATCAGTGGTCCCTATGAATGTTTCCAGGTACCTTTTCAGGGTTGGGATAGCAACATGTGCCATGGGGGAGGGCTCCCCCATCCGCTTCAGAATTTCGCAACATCAGAGCAGCCCAGCTGGGTGGGACCAAAGGCCCATCCAGCCCAGTGTCCTGTCTGCCCACGGTGGCCAAAGCAGGTGCCCTAGAGGGATAGAACAGAACAGGGAATCCTCACGTAATTCCTACCCCCGTCGCCCATTCCCTGCCTCTGACAAACAGGCTAGGGCCACTATCCCTGCCTATCCTGACTCAACCATTGATGGACCAAATCTCCATGAATGTATCTAGGTCATTTTTGAACCCTAAAGTCCTGGTCGTCACATCCTCCGGCGAGGAGTTCCACAGGTTGACTGTGCGCTGTGTGGAAAAAAAAACTTCCTTTTGTTTGTTTTAACCTGCTGCCTATTCATTTCATTGGACAACCCCTAGTCCTTATATTATGGGAACAAGTCAATCACTTTTCCTTATTCACTTTTTTAACACCACTCATGATTTTATAGACCTCTCTCCTATCCCCCCTCAGTCTCCGCTTTTCTAAACTGAAAAGTCCCCGTCTTTTTAATCTGTCTTCATATGGGACCTGTTCCAAACCCCTCAGCATTTTTGTTGCCCTTTTCTGAACTTTTTCCAACGCCAAGAGAGATTTTTGGAGACGAGGCGCCCACGTCTGCATGCAGATTCAAGCTGTGGGAGTCCCATGGATTTATACAGAAGCAATAAGAGATTCTCTGTCTTATTCTCTATCCTGTTTTTAATTATTCCTATTGTTGTCTGCTTTTTTGACGGCCGCTGCACATGGAGTAGATGTTTGCAGAGAGCTATCCATAGTCACTCCAAGATCTCCCTTGAGTAGCCAAATTACTCTCCATCCTATTGTTCGGCTAGTTGGGATTCTTTTCTCCAATCTGCCGTGTTTTATTTTTTCCATTGTGCCATTCACAATCCCTGAGGGGTGGGGCAGGTCACAGCTCCAGGGAAGTACCAGCCCAGGGAGAATTGCATGAACTGCATTAGACCAGAGCCCAGAAGCCCAAGAAAACAAAAGCGTTTGGGTATAAAAGCTGGATGTGAACTGCTCAGGGGCTTCAAGGTGCCGCAGGACTCCCCGTTGTTTGTGCCGACACAGACTAACCTCTGAAAGTTTTCTCCTTGTCCGTTTCCCAGCACAGTTCACAGTGAGGGGTCCTGAGCGCCCTATCGCCGCCTCCCTGGGTGGGGAGGCCGTCCTGTCCTGCCACCTCTCCCCCCGGATGAGCGCCGAGAGCATGGAGGTGAGGTGGTTCCGATCCCAGTTCACTGCAGCTGTGCATGTGTACCGCGACGGGCAGGACCAGTTCGGAGAGCAGATGCCGGAGTACCGAGGGAGAACGGAGCTCTTGAAAGACAACATCACCGACGGGAAAGTTTCCCTGAGAATACGCGATGTCCGGCCCTCCGACGAGGGGCAGTACACGTGTTTGTTCCAGTCCAGTGTCTTTTATGAGGATGCTTTATTGGAACTGGAGGTGGCAGGTCAGTAAAATTGTTTCCTAAACTCTTAAAACCCCAACTTATGCTTGAATTGTCCCTGTGTTGAGCGAGAACTTTACTTCATTCTCCCCATTTTACAGATGGGAAACTGAGGCAGGAAGTGGTGATGTGCATTGCCCAAGGCCACCCACCTTGTCAGTGGGCAGAGGCAGGAATAGTCCCCAGGCCTGAGAACACTCAGCTAGGCCCCTCGGTTGCCCCATGGTTGTTCAGCGTCACCCCCTCCCCCCTGCCTTTACTCTCTCTGATAGTTGCTGTGTGGCTAGGAGTTGGCACAGAAACTTGCATATTCACGGTGGGAATTAGTTTATTTACATATTCATGATGGCAATACATTTTAAGCGGCCAGGTGTTGCTTGTTTTGCATTGTAGCTGGATGCACATCGTAACACTGGACTCCCCCGCCACCTGTGTTTCTTCTGCCTGTCGCAGTCCCTTCCCCCTCCCACTGTGACAACCCCTCCCAGCCCTGCTGGGTATGAACTATTCCTTCCCTGCACTTCTGCGCTCTGGGATTTTGCCGGAGCTGGGTCCTTCTTGATTCGAGAGCAGTTTGGGCCGGGTGAACCGAGCCACTTGAACGAAGCAGGAACGTGCCCTACGGCACCAGCACCTGCCCAGGTTAACTTGGTGAGCCCCACTCGCGGACCCACAGTCAGTCCTTAGCTGAACAGGAAATGGCTTTTGCTCACACAGAAAGGATGATGAAGCCGTGGGTGAGCACTGGGCACTGTGGGATTATCACAAGTTCTTTTATTTCTTCTGTAGATTTGGGCTCTGTTCCTGACATCGCGGTGGAGGGACATCAGGACAGAAGGATCCGGCTGGTGTGTCGATCCTCTGGATGGTTCCCGGAGCCCAAGGCTGAGTGGAGAGATCAGCAGGGGCAGCACCTGCCATCAGCCTCGGAAAGCAGCTCCCAGGAGGCGGGGGGCCTGTTTGGGACAGAGATTGCCATCGTTCTAACGGAACGGTCCAGCCGGAAAGTGTCCTGCCGGGTTTGGAACCCCCGTCTCAACCAGGAGAGAGAGTCGGCGGTTTCCATAGCAGGTCAGTGCCCGTCCCTGGCGCCCGGAGGTAGACAAAGATGCCGGAGACGCTGGCTGAGTATTGACCATTGTGTGTCCTGTTTCTTGGGCTGAGCCTTCAAAGTGCAGAGAACTTCTTGAGAAATTCTGAGCAATAGGAGTTTGCTTTGGATGTGCCTGCGCCATAATTCATAGTCTGGTGACTTAGACCAGGCTTACTGGATGAAGGCAGAGAGCTGTATAAAATCCAGGGCAGACAGTTGAGTTTGTGCTAACTCTCCCGATAGATTAGCCACTTAGGCTAAGTCTAGACTGCAAGTCTCTTTTGAAAGAGTCTTTTTCGAAAGTATCTTTCGAAAAAGAGCATTTAGACGACAACCAGCACTTTCGAAAGAGCACTTTCGAAAAAAGGCATCATTCCTCATAAAACGAGGTTCTCCATGGTCGAAAAAACTGCCACGTCCTTTCAATTTACTTTTGAAAGAACATGGTGGCAGTCTAGACACAGGTAAACATTGGGGACCACTGGTCTAGACACACCCAGGCTACGTCTACACTGGCATGAATTTCCGGAACTGCTTAAAAGGGAATACTATTCCATTTTCAGGTTTTCCGGAAAAGGAGCATCTACCTTGGCAGGCTGCTTTTCCGGAAAAAACCTTTTTCCGGAAAAGTGTCTGTGGCCAATGTAGACGCACTTTTCCGGAAAAGAGCCCGATTGCCATTTTCGCGATCGGGGCTTTTTTCCGGAAAAGACTACTGGGCTGTCTACACTGGCCCTTTTCTGGAACAGTGTTCCGGAATAAGGACTTATGCCCGAGCGGGAGCAGAATAGTTTTTCCGGAATAGCGGCTGATTTTGTACAGTAGAGCATCGTTGCTTTTCCGGAAAGTCAAGGGCCAGTGTAGACAGCTCGCAGCTTATTCCGGAAAAGCGGCTGATTTTCAGCCTCAGAGTGCCCTCTGAAAAAGAGCATCTAAACAGCCAAAAGCGCATTGAAAAAATGATCTGCTTTTTTGAAAGGGAGCGTTCACACTGAATGGACGCTCTCTAGCATGTCAGCTGTGATCGCTATGGGCGGAGTGGCCACCAGGGCCCGTGTGCTTTTTCCTCTTCCCTCTTCATCCGAAAGATCTCCTTCTTCCTCATCCACACACGCCTTTCTCCGAAAGAGCCCTTTTGGAAAAAGACTTCTTCCTCATAGAAAGAGGGTTATCAACGTTGGAAAAACCTCTCTGGGTCTTTCAATTTTTTTCCAAAAGAATCCGATTGCAGTGTGGACGTAAGTGAAGTTTTTCTGCAAAAACTGCAGTGTCGGCACAGCCTTAGTCACAGCATGACCCTTTCTCTTGCAGAGCTGTTTTTCCTGAGGTTCAAGCCTTGGATGGTGGCCATGGGGGTGACCCTGGCTATTGTGTTTGTTCTCATCCCTCTGGCCAGTTACTGCTCCTGGAGGCAGCACCGAGCGAAAGGTGACGTGAGGAGGGGGTTGGCGGGGGAGTTAGTGAGAGGGATTTAAAAACAAATCCCAAAGTAGCGCTATCGGGATGAGGGGCTCTGATTCAAAGTCCGGAGGAGCTGCAGGCAGGGGGAGCCGGGCTGAGGGGGAAGAGGGAGCTGAAAGTCTGAACTGAGTTGTGTCAAGTGGTTTCACCCTTCAGCTCTCATGATGAGTCGATACGGGAAGGCTTCCTCAGCCCTGGCTCGCAGTGGTGCCGCTGCAGCTCTGCAGTTTAAATTAGGAGACAGGGGTGCAGACAGCTTTGAAACCAGCGCCAGTTGCTTTTGGGGCGGGGCAATGCCAGGGGAGGAGTAGGAAGCAGAGGCAGCGAGGTGGGGGAGCGAGTCGTCCAGTACTCGCTGACATCCCCATTTCAAAACTGCCCCAGGGGTGTGAATCCGCAAGTCTTGCTGAAATTACCGGGCACTGGCTGTGGGACCCCCAAGGCAGCTGGGAAAATCCCCCCCCGAGGGTTTTCTCAGCTGAATCTCCAGGTTTCCATGCCCTGGGGTTGATTTTGAACCCTGGCGATTCCCCCTTCAGCTTCCATTTTAGCCTGTGAATTCCCATCCTGCACCTCACCCCACGGCCTTGCTCCTGGCTTCATGGGGTTAACACTGTCCAGTTGCCGAGGGTTCTCCTCTTGTCTCAGGTCAGCTAGCTGGATGGGGTCTTCATTTTTGTCCTGTGCTGATTCTTGTGTTGCCCGGGAGGTGCTGGGGTCTGGCTGAGAACGCAGCCCCGTCCAAGCTGAAACTAAGGGTTCAGATTTCCCTGCGGGAGGGTCTTTGGGACTCGCGTCCTCTCTGCAGGATAATGGGACTCATTTCCCTGTTTTGTTTCCAGGCAAACTCCAGGCACAGCTTGGTAAGTTCCCTCCCTCCTTCCCCCCCACCACGTGCAGCTCTCGTGTGACTCTGTCTCCCACTCAGGGCGACCCGCCCCTCTCTCTGCGTTTGGTTGCAGGGTGGATAAGAATCACCCCACCCCTCATAGCCTGTAAATGGCACATAGGAAAAAATATCCCCAACTAGACATACAATACGATGGGGACTAATTTAGCGACAACTAATCAGGAAAGAGATCTTGGCGTCATCATGACTAGTTCTCTGAAGACGTCCACGCAGGGCGCAGCGGCAGGCAAAAAAGCAAACAGGATATTAGGAATCATTAGAAAAGGGAGAGAGAATAAGACGGGGAATAGCTTATTGCCCTTAGCTAAATCCATGGGACACCCACATCTGGAATCCTGAGTACAGATGTGGTCTCGTCTCAAAAAAGATATTTTGGGATTAGAAAAGGTTCAGAGAAGGGTAACTAAAATGCGGAGGGGTTTGGAACGGGTCCCCTATGAGGAGAGAACAAAGAGACGGGGACTTTTCAGCTTGGAAAAGAGGAGACTGAGGGGGGATAGGATACAGGTCTATAAAATCATGAGTGGTGTGGAGAAAGTGAATAAGGAAAAGTAATTGACTTGTTCCCGTAATAGAAGAACTAGGGGTCACCCAATGAAACTAATGGGCAGCAGGTTTAAAACAAAGAAAAGGAAATTCTTCTTCACAAACTGCAGTCAACCTGTGGAACTCCTCGCCGGAGGAGGTTGGGAAGGCTAGGATTGTAACAGGGTTTAAAAGAGAACTAGATACATTCATGGAGGTTAGGTTCATTAATGTCTATTAGCCAGGCTGGGTAAGGAATGGTGTCCCCAGCGTCGGGCAGAGAGTGGAGATGGGTGGCAGGAGAGAGGTTGCTTGATCATTCCCTGTTCTGTTCTCTCTCTCTGGGGCACCTGGCCCTGGCCACTGTGGGCAGCGAGGACACTTGGGTCTGACCCCATCTGGATGTTCTTCTGTTACTTTGTGCTCCTTTCTCCTGGCTTCACGGGGTTAACACTGTCCGGTTGCGGAGGGATCCCCTTAGCCCTGGCCTGGTGGCTGGGTGGGTCCTGATTTTCATCCCGTGCCCAGTCCTGCGCTGCCCGGGAGGTGCTGGGGTCTGGCTGATCACGCAGCCCCGTCCAGGCTCAATCTCAGGACTGGCACGTCCCTGCGGGAGGGTCTTCGGGATTCGCTTCCTTTCTGCTGGATAACGGGACTCCTTTCTCTGTTTGGTTTCCAGGCAAACTCAAGGAGGTGCACAGTAAGTTACCTTCCTCTTTCCCCTCGCCCCGCACAGTCCCTGTGTGACTCTGTCTCCCACTGGGCGACCCACCCCTCTCTCTGCGTTTGGTTGCAGAGTGGAGAAGAATCACCCCTCCCCTCATGGACGGTAAATGGCACATGGGAAAAAATATCCCCAACTAGACATACAATAGGATGGGGGCTAATTTAGCTACAAGTAATCAGGAAAGAGATCTTGGAGTCACAGTGGATAGTTCTCTGAAGACGTCCACGCAGTGCGAAGCAGCAGGCAAAAAAGCAAACAGGATTTTGGGAGTCATTAAAAAAGGGATTGAGAATATCTTACTGCCTTTATAAAAATCCATGGGACACCCACAGCTTGAATCCTGCGGATAGAAGGAGGTGCACAGTAAGTTACCTTCCTCTTTCCCCTCGCCCCGCACAGTCCCTGTGTGACTCTGTCTCCCACTGGGCGACCCACCCCTCTCTCTGCGTTTGGTTGCAGAGTGGAGAAGAATCACCCCTCCCCTCATGGACGGTAAATGGCACATGGGAAAAAATATCCCCAACTAGACATACAATAGGATGGGGGCTAATTTAGCTACAAGTAATCAGGAAAGAGATCTTGGAGTCACAGTGGATAGTTCTCTGAAGACGTCCACGCAGTGCGAAGCAGCAGGCAAAAAAGCAAACAGGATTTTGGGAGTCATTAAAAAAGGGATTGAGAATATCTTATTGCCTTTATAAAAATCCATGGGACACCCACAGCTTGAATCCTGCGGATAGATGTGGTCTCATCTCAAAAAAGATATTTTGGCATTAGAAAAGGTTCAGAGAAGGGCAACTAAGATGCTGAGGGGTTTGGAACGGGTCCCATATGAGGAGAGATTAAAGAGACTGGGACTTTTCAGCTTGGAAAAGAGGAGACTAAGGGGGGGGATATGATAGAGGTCTATAAAATCATGAGTGGTGTGGGGAAAGTGAATAAGGAAAAGTTATTTACTTGTTCCTATAATACAAGAACTAGAGGACACCAAATTAAATTAATGGATAGTAGGTTTAAAAATAATAAAAGAAGCTTCATCCAGCGCATTGTCAATCTGTGGAACTCCTCGCCGGAGGAGGTTAGGAAGGCTAGGTCTGTAACAGGGTTTAAAAGAGAACTTAATACACCTGGCATTGGCCACTGTGGGCAGGCAGGACTCTGGGCTGGGGTCTGGCTGAGAATGCAGCCCTCTCCAGGCTCAATCTCAGGACTGGGACTTCCCTGCGGGAGGGTCTTTGGGACTCGCTTCCTTGCTGCAGGATAACGGACTCCTTTCTCTGTTTGGTTTCCAGGCAAACTCCAGGCCGAGCTCGGTAAGTTCCCTCCCCCCTGCCCTTTACAGCCCTTGTGTGACTGTCTTGGGGCGACTCACCCCTCTCTCTGTTCGGTTGCAGGGTGGAGATGCGCCCAGCTCTGCGCAGGTACTGTCCAGCCCCTGGGATTGTAGCCACCCCGGGCAGTTACACAAACGCCAGTGGGGGATGGGAGATCCCGCCTCTGCCCCCGGCCCTGACTCTGTGACTCTCTCCCCAGTGGACGTGATGCTGGATCCAGACACGGCTCATCCCGAACTCGTCCTGTCTGAGGATGGGAAAAGCGTGAGACTCGGAGACACGCGCCAGGATCTGCCCGACACCCCCGAGAGATTTGACCATGCTGTCTGTGTGCTGGGCGCCGAGGGGTTCGCGGGCGGGAGGGGTTACTGGGAGGTGGAGGTGGGGGACAAGCCGAGATGGACTCTGGGGGTTTGCAGGGAATCTGTGAACAGGAAGGGGAAGAGCGCACTCACACCTGGGAACGGATACTGGGTCGTGTGGCTGGGGGGCGGTTACTGGGAGGTGGAGGTGGGGGACAAGCCGAGATGGACTCTGGGGGTTTGTAGGGAATCGGTGAGCAGGAAGGTGGAGATCACACACTCACCTGGGGACGGATACTGGGTCATGTGGCTGAAGGACGGGGGTTACAAGGCCTTCACCTCCACCCCGACTCCTCTCCCCGTGAGCGCCAGGCCCAGCCGGGTGGGGGTTTTCCTGGACTACGAGGCAGGCAAGGTTTCGTTTTACAATGTGACTGACAGGTCCCGACTCTTCACCTTCACCGACACCTTCTCTGGGACGCTCCGCCCGTATTTCTATCTTGGTCTCCGTCCTGAGGGCACCAATGCGGAGCCTCTGACCATCTGCCCAGTCCTGGCCCAGGCTGGAGGGGATCCCAACACAGCCAGTGGATGAAAGTCGAGTGATTCGCCCGGCCGGGCTGAGGCAGAGGGGAGGGAGGAGGAGACACCTCTCTTCTCCAGCGAGGCTGGGAACACCCCAAGTGGTCCCCGCTAGCGCTGGCCCGGCCCTGCCCAAACTGGCTGGCAGCTCCGCCCTCATCTGCACTCCTGGAGAAATCGAGGCTGTGGAGGTCGATCTTCTGGCGTGTGATTGAGCAGGTCTAGCGAGGACCCTCTCTATCGCTGAGGGCACCTCGTCGGCAGGAAGGGAATTCTCGTGGCTGGAGTCGCGTGTCCGGCGTCGACGTTCTCCCCCAGCGCAGAGCTGCTCTGAGTCACTCCAGGCTGCTGGGTCCCTCGGGGGCACTTCCTTGGTTTGAGCGGTCCCAGGCCTGGGTGGCGCGTGACGGCCCAGCTGGGGAAGGCAGCAAAAGCTCCGCCCCTTCCATCTGAAGCCACTCCCCTCCCCTGAGACCACGCCCCTGTCCCAGCTGAGGGTCAGGGCTGCTGCAGGGTACAACCCGACCTCCTTTTTGGCCCCAACCTTCCCTGGCCACCGGGGAGCCACGTGGCCGGGCAGTGGAGGCTGTTTCCCTCGCCTGCCTTACCCGCTGCCTGTGGGCCCGCCTTTCGGACTCCACTTGCTGCAGCTGGGAGAGCAAATCCCCTTTGGTGCATAAATTGCTCGTTTCGTCCCCTGGAGGCTCGTTCAATTTGCCTCAAAAAGCGAGTCCCACTTTCAGGCTGGGGCCAACTCCATTCAAAGCAAGGTCGACCTTGAGCATCGCCTGAGCTGAAACTTTTATAGATTTCACATTCCGTCTGGGCAGCGTGTCGCAACGCGATTGGTCACTGCAAGTTTACTCGGGTTCCCTAGCAGAAAGTTTAGCAGCTTCTAAGGCATGCGCAGTCAGCTAAATGATACGTGCTGTTTCGAGCTTAAGCAATGGAAGGGGAAGAAGCACACTTAGTTTTTACTACACCTTTCTGCCGGGCTCCCTGAGTTTCCTTCTTTTAGCTAGAAATGGAGGCAGAGGTACCGGTCGCACAGTGCCAAGGAAGGAGCTGATTGGAGGGGGGATTAATTGGAGGGAGGAGCCCAGTCACAGGCTGGTGGCAGCCTCTTCCCTGAGGTGCGACCCTTCTCTGGGTCCCAGGGGTTGTATTTTTATTTCTCTTGGAGGTTGCGAGGCAGGCGGGGAGAGTGAAATGCTCCGGTGTTTCCCCCGGGCTGGCCTGAGGCCTTGCGGGCGGTTCTGGGCCCCCAGGCGTGGCCGGACTCACGGGCACTCGCAGAGGTGGGACAGAACCGATCCAGGACTGGCTGGCAAAGCAAAATATGTGTCCCTGAAGCAGAGAGGTGCCTGGGGAAAGCAGGCGGCTGTCCAGAGAGGGCTGCCGGGTACGGCAAAGCCCAGGGGAGAGCCGTGAGGAGTCCTGGGCTGAGTGTAAAAAAGGGAGGGGACGGGGCGGCCAGCCAGGGAACGCTTTGTGAGCCTGAAGCAGGGGAATGGACAACCGTGCCTAGCACTGGTTGGACACCCAAGCAGGCAGAGGCCATGGGAAGTACAGTCTCATGGTCAGTTTCTCCCAGTCCTTGCTGGGGTGCGGGGGAGATTTCTGCAGCAGATGCACTGTGGTGACTGCTCATTGGAGTTAGCTTTAAAAAAAGAATCCAAATAAATCTCGTCCCCCAAACTGTCATAATATCACTGTTTGAGAAGTTTTTTTACAGGCACAAAAATGGGGCGGTGCGATTTGTGGCTCACTTTGCCATGGGACGGCGTTGGAGAAGGCTCTACCTGGGACACGGGTTAATTTAATAAAGGCCGCCCCCTCCAGCTGTCTGAAACGCTTGGCGTTAGCTTTGCCTGGGAACGTGCATTGCAGTAGGGGGCGTACACACCCTGGATTGGTGGATGGACACAGGGATCAGGGTGAAAAGTCCAGGCGCCCTGGCAGAGGGACACAGGGATGGTTTGGGAGACCCAGCCAGGCTGTACCCCTTTCAAATGATGCTGGGTCGCATCGATTTCTACCCCTTCGGCCGCAGGAGGCTGGAAATTGCAGCCACGACACATTGAAAAAATGCATTCTGGATTGCAGTCGTATAGACCCGATTTGTCATTTTGCAAACCAATGGTGCGCTCCGTTACATTTCTCGCTTTTCACACATACGCTGGAAACGACACATTTGGGGAAAGTCGGAACATTTCCCCTGCCGTTTTTAAGTGTATAAAAGCTTCAGAGGGGCAGCTGAATTCGTGTGTGACTGGAAAACCCACCAATAGTCTCGCAGCGCTGAGGCAGTGGGCGGTACCCACGACAGCTCATGAGTCCATCTCCATGTGCTGTCAGTCTCTACGGTGCTGCAGGACTGGTCGGTGTTTTTCAAGTTTTTAGATGTAGAGATAAGACATTCAGGGGAAATGCCTCTCTCAGAAAAGCCCCGCCCCGCCCAAACCCCACGGGTTCCCCGCTATAAACGTGTCGGGCCAGGGAGGAAGCGGAGGTGAAAGAGTGGGAGACAGTGAAAGAAAACTTCACAGGGGGAGCCGAGTTCGTCTGCAATAGGAAAAACTTAAAAAACCCAGACTAGTAGCACCTTAGGGTGTGTCTACAGTAGCTCGTTAGTTCGAGCTAGGTAGGCAAATGAGGGAGACTGATTCCAGGATGAGCCTTCAAGCGATGTTTGGGCAAATGAAGCCCAGCATTTAAATATCCCAGGCTTCATTTGCATGTTCCCGGGTGCCTCCAGGCGGGACACTCCCCCCTGGGGGAACCAGGGCGTAAAACGGACCCGAACCTTCCCTGGGCGGGACACTCCCCCCGGGGGAACCAGGGCATAAAACGGACCCGAACCTTCCCTGGAGCCTGCCAGGACGAAACCCAGGAAGGCGTCTTTGGTCAGTGCAGGTCCCCCCGCCCTCTTCAGGAGGGAGCAGCCAGGCCCCCAGGGGACTTCTCCGGTCCGGTTGGCGCGGTGCCCTGGGGTCTAGTCCGGTGGGACTGGGTCCTGTGGGGTTTTCACCCCCCAGCGGCTAAGCTGGGTCTGCAGCCGCTGACTTAGCCCCGAAGGCCCCCGAGGAGCCCCCGGCTGCCCTGGATTCGGGCTCGTGCTACGGATGGGGCAGGAGATGCCGGGGCAGGCGGGAGCACCGAGCAGGAACCCGGCACTTGGGGGATCGCTGCGGCTAAAACTGCCGAGTGGGGGCTGGAACGGGTTTTCACCCCCCAGCGGCTAAGCTGGGTCTGCAGCCGCTGACTTAGCCCCGAAGGCCCCCGAGGAGCCCCCGGCTGCCCTGGATTCGGGCTCGTGCTACGGATGGGGCAGGAGATGCCGGGGCAGGCGGGAGCACCGAGCAGGAACCCGGCACTTGGGGGATCGCTGCGGCTAAAACTGCCGAGTGGGGGCTGGAACGCACGGTGTGAACTGGTAAATTTAACCCTGAACTGCCTGGGCTGCTCGGAGCGGGGGTGGGGTCCCTGCTGGCCTGCCCCGGGCAAGTTGGACCCCTGGCGCCAGGGTCCCGCTGGCTGCCCCAGGCTCAGCCCTGCCCGACCCGTCTCCCCCCAGCCGGCTGGGCTCAGACACCGGTGAACTGGCCAGCGCCTCGGTCACCCCACGCTCACTGGTCGCAGGCTCCCCTGCACGTCCCTAGTGCCCGGCCAGGTTAGGGTGTCGCTACCGGTCGCACGTGCGGATGGGAGCAGGTCCTGGCCCGCTGGGCAACTTCAGCCACCCGGACCTCAGCCCCCACCCTGCCAGAGACCCCCCCTTTCTCGGGTCAGACCCCTCCAGATCCCCCTCCAGCTGCATGGACAGGGCCCGATCCGGCTCCCCCTCCCCACCAGCCGGCCCGCTGCTCCCAGGGGGTGCGGCTGGGAAGTGGACACATGGCAGGGGGGTGTCTGCGCCGGGCCCAGGGCTGTTCGCTCCCCCCAGTCTCCA